ATCATCGCTGGTCTTCAGTGGTAGTGCTGGGCCTGTGAAGCCAGCACGCAAGAAATGCAAAAGGAAAAAGAATGCTGCAGAGTCATTTGAGTTGGGAGGTAGATCAGTGGAGCGCCCGTGTACTCTTCCTGCCTTGAATTTTACCGATACAGTTACAGGAACTGATGAAATTGATGATCGGTTTGACACTTGGGTAGAGGACGTCTTCGAGCAAACATCGCGATTGCAATGTTCGCATTTCCTTCCGTTTGCTTCCTTGTCTTTCTCCCCAAGGCCGGAGTCTGTTCAAAGTGTTATGGGTCACAGATTTTGTTATAATTTGAATTTTTCATTAATTAATGTAATACTACATAAACTTATCATCATCCTCAATTGATCTTGCTGGCCAGGTCCACAGAGCCTTGGTGTCACAGGCTCATGGTTGCAAGGATTTTGGTGCAAAATTTCTTGCGCTACGACCAGGACTTCAATGTGGGCAGAGTGGCCATGAAATGGCATGGGCTGATTGGATTGGCTTATCCCGCATTGAAGAACCGAACCATCGAGTGTCAGCTGATGTGCATCATTAGCCGTAGCTATGACAACAGAGCCAAGATTGAAGCAGCTTCAATCGATGTGGGACCCCATCAATGTGCGGGGTTGCTGCAATACATTGAATACTATGCAGGGAGCGCCAAACTTTCGAAGAAATTGATCGAATCCGGTCTCCGTGGGTGCAGCTTTGACATACTCTACAATGACGAACACAACATGTTGCTAGCGAAAGGGTTGCGTTTGTTTCTGGATGCAGCCACAGCGTGTGAGAAGAAGGCTTTGCATTGGTGGGGCACTCCGTGCTCTTCTTTTGTCATTATGTGCTCATTTCGTTCCCAACGTGCTGAAAGCAACGGCTGGGAAGGCGCATGGACTGAGCGGGACTTTGTATTGCAGGGAAATTGTCAGGCCCTTGTTTGCTCACTTGGGATTTTCCTGGGATGGGCATGTGAGTGCTGCCCTGTGGTGGAACAGCCCCTCAGCTCCTGTATGCCGCACCTCGAGTGTGTCAAAACAGTTCTATCCTTTTGTGGCTTCGAAAAGACTTGCACCTACATGGGTGCCTTTAACGGAAAGTCAGTGAAGCCCTTGCAACTGTGGCATTTGCCTGGGTTTCATTTTGAGAACCTGGCCAGGCCCAAACCAGATCATAATGCTTTCATTGGTCTGGTAAACCGAGGCGAAGACGGCCGTTTCACCGGTGTGCCAGCAGATGTACAGGCTAGTGGGGAATACACTTCGATGTTCGGGGAAGCAGTTGCGCAGATTGTCCGGAATCTATTGTGACGATCCGCTTCGTCAGCCAAAATACGTTTCATAGCTTACTGAGCTGCATGCTTTTTATTATTCAAGCCAATCTGCTGTGACTGGTTTTTGGGGTGTGAATGCTGTGACACAACAGCAACAGCAGGCCATGCAGCAACACAGGTAAAACAGTGCGATGACTGATGAGAAGGTTGCATAACAATTGAGACACAAGTCTGATTTGCTTGCAGCCTTATGTCGATGTGGCTGTCTCAGTGAACACACTTGGAGGAACAGAATTGATATGGCTCTTTCAGTGAATGAGTATGCGCCGGCAAATCAGGGCCTTGGACGTCGTTCTTGCCTTCTTTGCCCCACTTGAGGAGGATTCCTCAAGATTTCCTCAATTCGAATCGTCAACCTTGCCAAGCAATGCCATGCTGACTCAAGATTTCCTCAACCTTGCAGCAACCTGTTTAAGTTGACAGGTTGTTCTGAGCAGTGTGAGGAAACAATAGATGCCATCCACTGTGACCTTGCCCGATGTGCCCATGTCGGTGCAAGGGGTCAGTGGCATGGCACAAGTGAACACACTTGAGGAACAATTTCTTGTTGACAATTTGGGAGTCACACCTTTGCAGCTTCTGCCGGCTCTTGCACAGACGTCCTCAGCCTTGCGAAAACCTGTTGGTGTTGCCGGGCTCTCACCCGAAGAGCCATCAAGTTTCCTTGCTTGGGGACACAAAGGCCAGCCATCTAGTGTGACCTTGCCCGACGTGCCAATGTCGGTGCAAGGAGTCACTGGAATGGCACAGCTTCCGGTTGCTCTGTTCACACACCGGCTTGGACAGAAATAATACTACATTTTTTCATGGTTTTCTCAACAATTTTCAGTGTCTGCAAATCTCCAGTTACATTAATTCTGGACAAACCTACCGTGTCGTAACGTATCCAATAAGTCTTTGTTCAGGTTGACTTCTGATTTTGATAACTTTGGTTTTTGCCAAGCCCACTGATCCAGCCCCCGCGGATCCAACCCTACAAACGAGCATATTGAATTATAATAGGTATATATATAATATTATATATTATGTAATTAATATGTATATATAATATAATTAATAGACCTCGTTGATCCCTTATAGGCTTGGTATGATCTTACTGCAGCTTCAGCTCTGCGAACAACCTGGACACCAGAAAATCCTGGAGCACACCCGTGGATGCCTCACGCTTACAGCCCTCTTCGAAACATACCCGGTGGGGACAACTGGCTCCGAATACGGATCGATCCAGCACATACCTATGCAATTCAAGGGTGGATCCCCCAAGCCAGCCCCCCCCAAGCGCCCCCTGCTTTTTCTTTCCGCCCCCCCGGCCAGCCCCCCAAGCCAAGCCAAGCCCCCCCCAAGCCAGCCCCCCCCAAGCCAGCCCCAGCCCCGACCCCCCCCAAGCCAGCCCCGCACCCAGCCCCGCCCACCCCCCCAAGCCAGCCCCGCCCAAGCCACCCCCCCAAGCCAGCCCCCCAAGCCAGCCCCCCCCGCCAGCCCCCCCCCCCAAGCCAGCCCCCCCCAAGCCAGCCCCCCCCAAGCCAGCCTCATCCTTGATACTGGTTTGTCATCTAGGAATGGCAGAAGGAAGATCTATCAACCGCCGCCTCGACTACTTGCTTAGGTCTTTCAAGCACTGGTGCAGCAACAACGGCAAAACCACCAGCCTGAACTGCATCACGCTGGAGAAGTTAAAGATGAAGTCGATGCCAGACCTGATTACAGTTTGTTTGGGATACATATTCTAAATCTACATAGGGGCTTGTAAACGACTCGGTAAGGCATCGAGGGTGTGTCAGGTAGAAGCTTAATTAATTCCCGATGTTTTAATTGTTCTAGTGCCTCAATTTCACATTTCCCAACCCTGAGTTTTGTGAGATATTGTGTGCGATCCGGGTGCTTCCATGAGTCGGAGTCAGAGAAGCTGTGTTTTTGGTTATGAAGTTCTGCCTTCAATCTGTCTAATTATCTATTCTACACATCTACATAGCTCTCTCCTTACATCTATCCTACCTATGCACCTACTGATCCATCCATCCCTCCGTCGATCACAACATTGTTGATGCTGTCGAGGCTGAACTACTTCCCCATGGGGATCGGGAAGGGCTTCGACACAATCCTGCTGCTGGAATGGCTTCAGGACTTTCTGCGGACAGCAGATGCTGAAAGCTTGGACTCTTGGCTTCTGTGTACGTATGTAAATATGCAGTCTAATTAATGGCATGCCTGGGTTTTGCAAGTTGAATCTACAAGTAGTCGAAGTCTGCACTTCAGAGCAGCCAGGATCAAGGGCATCGCAATTTGTTCGATGTGCTGGTTTGGACGATCGAGAGCACTAACAACTTCTTCAAGCCTTTCTATGGAAGGGGGATTTGGATCCCCAGTACCGTTGCCTCCGATCTGGTGTCTCATGGCTATAACATGCTCGTAACTCGGCCGAATCGTCACAATTCGAAACTTCTAAGAGGGGGGCTGCAGGTGATTGAGTTTGATAAAGTGTAGTCAGGCAGAAACTATATAGTTTTCGATAGATCTGTAAAGCACACTCCCCCTTAGAAATGCTAGGAGGGCTATGGTTACTTGGTGGCGCTTTGCGTGCAGCGACGCTGGGCGCTTTTTAAGCTGAAGCCGAAGATTCACATGCAGGCTCACCTTATGACTCTCGGCATCTGAAACGTAGCATATATGTTTCTACTAGTTTGGAAAGATCGACGATGCTCGGAATGCTCGAAATTTCATACCAAATTATAAGGCGTGAACTCGAGTTACAGCTGTGCTCCCTGGCGTACTTAGAATGTCACATTAATTCTTGCTGGTAAACACACAGTGAATCCCATTCCGTTTCAACGACCTAGCTAAGGCATGGCCTGTTGGTCAGACGAGGATTTCATAGGGCGTGTATCGCGGATCTCGAGGCGCCAATCGACAGCGAAAGTGGCAATCAGAACCACAAGGGTGTGTCTTATTTTGTATAAGAAGCTCTGGGACCGAGAAGTTCCGTACTGAAGCAGTGCCGCCCTGGTGGAAAAAAAGCTGAGGGTGTGGCAGTGGCCACAGGATGTACAGGTCGATGTAGCCAGTCCAGAGAGGTTCGGGGTTTGGGCAAGGAACCTATATATGATATCATAGCCGTAGAAGTTTCTGACTATATAGGCCGAACAGCTAGCCCACTGACTTTGACAGGTTTACCGTGAACCCCCAAGTTAGCCAATCGGGCGCTTCCCATATGCTTGGACTTGTCATTTATTATTCTAGTGTTCTGAGCGAGTGGCCTGGCTTATAAGAAGCAGTTACCCCTGTATACCTGTGCCGGAGAACTTCAATGCACATGTTTAAGACCCTGCACCTGAGTATCGATGTGAGTTCCCTGCCCTGACGTGTTAAACCATATGACCTTGCCCTGAAACTTAACCAGTAGGTACATAAGCCTGCCCAACATCCCGACAGCACATTCCTTAGAAACATTTAGTTGTGCGGGTGCTGGAACATGGCGGGTGGTGTCATTTCCCGCAAATCGTGGGTGTGTATCTTGGCACGCACAGAAATTTATAATCCGAGTAGAAATTATAAACAGATGTAGGCACGCAGGGATTTTGAAGGGTATGGATATTTCCATGCCGAAGGATGCTCTAGGTACTTTATGAGCGCGGCAGGCGATTGCTGCGATCTGTTCAGGATCAGAATGGATTTGAGGCCTGGAGGCTTCTCAGCAAGGATCTTATGCCAAAGACTCGCAATCGCGTCTTAGCCTTGTTGCGAACGATCAACAGCTGGCCGTCCTTTGCGGCCCAGCAAGGACTTGCTCAGCAATTGCTGCGACTCGAGAGTGCCTTTGAGGAGTATGAACGCCTCGAGCCAGGCGGACTTCCCGAGAACAACAAGATGGCCACGCTCCTCAGTTGCTTGACAGGCCAACTGCGCCAGCATGCCAATGTAGTCATTTCTGATGACAGCACGTACAGTGACCTCCGTGAACTTGTGCTGCGTTGGGATGGTGCTAACACGAAGTGGCAAACCAGTGTTGCTTCGAGTTATGGGCTGAGCGATGGTAAGACAGGCTTGCATGATACCGGCGATGTTGCGCCGATGGATGTAGACCGTGTGAACGCCAAAGGCGACAAAGGCAAGTATGGCAAAGGCAGGCACAACAAAGGCAGCCAAGGCGACAAAGGCAAGGACGGCAAAGGCAAGCACAACAAAGGCGGCAAAGGCGATGCAGGCAAAGGCGACAAAGGCAAGAGCAAGGGAGGCAAGGACAAAGGTGGCAATGCAAAGGGCAATTGGCCCTCCGTGTGCAGGTGGTGCCAGAAGCCGGGGCACTACAAGCGGGACTGCTTTCAGTACAAGGCCTACATGCAAGGCCATCAGAAAGGTGCCCGGCAGGTTCAGGCCAATTCTTCTGCAGCGTCTGATGCTGGCACAAGCACGACTGCCCCGTCTTCTGCGAGTGCCCTTCAAGCCCAGCAAGGCAAGGCACAGTCCACGGTTCGCCGTGTTGCGGCTGAGCCACTGCTTTTCGATATGTCTGACCTGGAGGATCCGTTTCCTTATGAGCCCAATGTCTGTATGGTTACTGTGACTGCGCCACAGAGTTTTGCAATGGATGCCCAGGATGATGACGACCAGTGGACTCTGCCTCCTGATGATTATGCTGTGCTTGACTTGGTGCCGAGTCCTGCTACTGCGTGTGTTCGAGCAGTGACCAGAGCAGGCCAATGCGTGATCATTGACTCCGGAGCCGATATCTCGTGCATCCCTGAGACTTTCCAGTCGTGTGGCCGTGCCGTCCGTGCAAGGCCGCTGCAGGTGCAAGATGCCCAAGGAGGTGCGATGCATGTGCAGGCAGAGCGCCTGGTGGACTTTGTGCTGTTTGGCGGGCCCCAGCCCGTTGTGATTCGCGAGCGGTGCATTGTTGCGAACGTGACGCAACCACTGTTGAGCCTTGGACGGCTCATGCGCAAGGGATGGTGGCCCATTCGCCAAGGCCAAGGCGACAACTCAGGCGAAGGTTCGATGTGCTTGCGCCACCCGCGGAGTGGCGCCGAGGTGCCTTTGCTGTTCAAAGGATACTCCCTTGCAGTGAATGCTCAGATTCGCCGCGTGGAGCATGAAGAGCCAGACGTGATTTACTACAATCCAGGTGCAGGTGAGGCCAACAATCACTCAGAGGATGAGGCTAGCGAAGGCGAGGTTCATGCAGGACTCCGTGATGCCAACAGCCAACAACAGGTCCGTGATGCCGACAGCCAACAGGTCCGTGATGCCGACAGCCATCAGGTCCGTGATGCTGACAGCCAACAGGTGTGTGATTCTGATTACGGGACACCCAAGGGGTTCCCCGAAAATTCTGGCTGTCAGTCCCAGTTTCAAGCCACAGGCGAGGTCCATGAGGTGTGCCCCAGCAAGCTACATGTTGCGTCCATCCAGGTGCGTTTTGATGCTAAGACACTCGAGTCCCTTGATTTTGGATGGCAAGTCAGTACGTCTGGGCACCTGGTGTGGAGAGGCCGCACAAGTAGGTTCGTGGATCCGAGTGCCATGGCACCGATCGGCTGGCCTCTCATTTGCCGCAGTGGGACATGGTTTCTGCTTGAACTCTGCGTGCCGTGGGCTGACTTGAAGGAGGTTGAAGCTGTTTTGCCCGGAGGTCAGGTTGCCGAGGTAATTTCATTTTTGCATGTGCAGGTTGAGCCAGTGTCTGAAATAGGTGTGCAGCTCCCTGCAGGCATGACCGAACCCCAAGGTTTGCCAGAGCCAGATTTTTATCATTTTCGAGCTGAGACTGAGCAAGCGCCTGTCGGGACAGTTGAGCATGACCGTGTGGTGCCCGAAGATGAGGCTATGCAAGGCCTAGAGGATGCAGCTGGACAATCGAGCCCAGCACCAATGCCACTGCCCGACCAGTTGGAAGCTGGAGTGCCAGCCGGCAATGTCGAGCCGCTGAGTCTTGATGGTGTGCTCATTTCGCATGATTCCAGCCTCGCTGTTTTGAAAACTGCAGCAGCCAAGCTCAACCTCAGCACGGCCGGCTCCAAGTCCCGTCTCTTTGAGAAGCAGCGTTTGGCCTTAGAGTTGGAACTTGCTGCCGATGCTCAGTCTTCAGGTGAGAGGCAACCAAGGGTTCAGCCAGTCGCAGCCGCCCCCACTGAGGCGGAACGATTCCTCCATGAGTGCACCCATCTGCCTTTCAAGCCGTGGTGCCCACACTGCATCAGCATGCGGGCTATGCCAGACCGGAGTGAGTACTTGAAGGAGGGCCCGCGTGACAACCCGATTGTCCAATTTGATTTTTCATTTTCAGGCTACAGTGTGCCGGACGGCATTTGCAACCTCGATGATGTTCCCGAGGACTCCCAGCGTGCACTCAAGTGTCTTGTGGCGCACGACAGCGCCACTGGAATGATCGCAGCGATTCGAGGTATTTAGGCATTGAGCTTATGAGGTTCATCCAGAGCCTCGGTCACACCACTGTGACTTTGAAGTGTGACAACGAGCCCTCCACTTTGACTCTTCAGCGTGCTATTGTCACTGCCCGGCAACGGCTCGGGTTGCAAACGCTTGTGCAGAATCCTGCCATAGGTGCCAAAGGTTCCCTAGGCTTTTGTGAGAAGGCCATCGACTCAGTGCGGAAGCTTGCAAACACTTTGCTTGATCAGGCTCGTCACCGCACCGGCCTTCCATTGCCTACGACCCATGTACTGTTTGCATGGGCGTTTGTGCACAGTGCCTGGCTGCTCAACCGATACAGAGTCATTGGCAACATGACAGCTTATGAAAGGGCCTGTGGGGCCAAGTACAGTGGGCGACTTGCGCCGTTCGCCGAACCTGTTTACTGCCAGCTTGATGTTAAGCAGAAAGGTGACAAGCGGTGGATGCTTGGAATCCTGGTGGGCAAATCCTCGCTCAACGACATGTACATCATTGCTGGCAAGGACGGAATCCGACTGTCCAGGTCCATACGCCGTGCGGGCCAGCCGTGGGAGCTTGAAGTGCAGCTTTACCGTGAGCTGAAGGGCTACCCCTGGGATTATGGGAGCGGTGTTATAGGGACCAAGTTTGTTGCAATGCCGAAGCAGCGAAATCCAGTTGTCAACCCGCTGCCTGATGCAGCACCGCCAAGGTCCCCTGATGAGGCCGCGAGCGAGCCGCCGACTCCTGCAGTTGAGGCACTGGGGATGCCGGTTACGCCGTTGGGCGGGGCCGGAGCAATGGCGCCTCCGAGGCGCAATGTGCCTCCTCCTGCAAGTGCTCGAGCAATTCCAGATGAGAGCATGGCTGTTACAGAAGAGCCTCCTGGGCCGAATCCGTCTATGCGGCCCGATCCACCCAGCACTCCCGAAGCTGAACTGCCACCGTTGAAGAAGCTGCGTATTCGTGCTGTGACTTTTGGTGAGCATTCGTATGAGGGGGAGTTCGACTTGGATCAGCCCGATGGTTGGGAGGTTCAGACCAAGCTTTGGTCCATGGAGTCCGAGATGGACGACAGTTTCACGAGTGAACTCAAGGCCGATCCCGAAGCGGAGGTGGCCGAGGATGATGACAGGTTGTGGTTTCCTGACAATGGAAAGGAGCCAGAGCTCGATGATGCCATTTTGGCCGAGCTCGACAACCTTGCTGATCAGGTTGAGGTCAGCAGACTGCTGAAGAAGTCTGTGCTGAGAGATGCCACGAGTGATGATGATTTGGCTTCGATGAAGAGCCTCACTACAAAGTCTGTTCGAACGTGGCGGCACAAGAAGCGGAATGGAATTTCTTCATGGTACCGCCGATCCAGACTCTGTGCTCGAGAGTTTCGGTGGTTGGATGAGTCCAAGGAGGGGCTATTCAGCCCTGCGACGAGCACTGACATTGTGCGCCTCATCCCGGCGCAATGGCTGACTTGGAAGCAGACGCGGCCATCCGAGCAGTATGCCATTTTGGCGCTCGATGTGAAGGACGCGTACCTGGAGGTTCCTCAGCCGACCCCGGTGGTTTCCAAAGTGCAAGGTCGAGACCTCGTTTTCATGCGAATGGTGCCGGGGCAACGCGAAGGATCGCAACAGTGGTTCTCCCACTTCTGCGAGTATCTCGGAGAACACTTTGTGGTTGAAAAGTGCAAAGAGTGCCCTGCGGTAGTGCATGTCAGCAGCAAGCCAGGATCCGATGGAGTTTGTGCAGACAAGGGTCCGGGCATGATTCATGTGGATGACTCTCTACTTCTTTTGCCGCTCCAGTGGGCCCGCGAGTGCTTTCTTCCAGTGATTGAGCAACGGTTTCAGATCACGTATGAGCTTGCATATGAGGTGGGTCATTCCTTCAGTTTTCTCAAGCGTGTGCATACCATTACAGACCAGGGTATCGTGATTCGACAGCCCTCTTCTTACATTGAGCAGATGAAGCAGACCATGAATGTCACGCAAAACAACAGACAACGAGTGCCATGTTGGAGTGAACTTCGTGCTAAGGACACCACCCGTGAGCTCAACCACAACGATGCAAGCAAATTCCGACAAGCAGTTGGGACCGCCTTATACATTTCATGTGATCGGCCCGATGTTGGTTATGCTGTGCGCATGCTTGCAAGCTACATGGCGAGGCCGACGGAGCATGCAAAGGTTGGTTTGATGAAACTGATACAGTACCTCATCAACACAAGTGATTATGGGATCTTGATGAAGTTTGCAGCCCCTGGGACCAGAAAGCTGAACAGTCATGTGTATGATGCTGGTTGCGGGACACCCAAGGGGTTCCCTGAAAATTCTGGTTGTGCAGTTGACTCCGAGCGTGCTGTGCTTGAAGTGTTTTCGGATGCTGACTGGTCGGGGTCGAAGAAGGATCGCCGTTCGTACGGCGGGGCGAGTTTCTGCGTGAATGGGCAGTACGTCCACTACATCTGCAGATCCCAGAAATGCATCAGTTTGAGAGCGAATACTACAGTGCTGTGGGAAGCGCGTGCCAGGGATTGTTCATGAAGGCTGTGATCGAGTTTATGAGCCGGAGCCCCTGCGACTTGATCGTGTACGTTGACAATCAGTCTTGCAAAGCTTTCTGTTTGCGCCAGGGAGTCACAAAGGCTAGCAAGCATTTTGAGGGCCGGCTACTTTGGTTACAGGACATTGTTCAGCAGAAGCGTCTTATCATGAAGTACATCTCGACTCACTTCAATTTAGGAGACCTTCACACCAAGCCACTTGCCCCAAGCCGATTGCGATCGCTGCTATTCCTGCATGACTTTGTGGACTGCCACTCCAGGCCCATCGGAGAAGGCGAGTGGGAGCAGACGGTCACTACAGCAGCGATGAAGGCTCAGGTTAAGCGTGTTCGAACAGTGGTAGGAAGTGATGCAGCAAACACGTGGGTGAAGCGAGTGGCGATGCTTTTGCTTATGATGCCGATTCCTGCAGAGGCGAGTTCAGTGACAGTTGCAACCATGAGTGCAAGCTTCTTTCTTGCAGTGCTTGTTTCGATGTGCATGGCAATTTATGCTATGGAGAGCACCGCAGAGCATGGTGCTGACAATGGTGATGATGGATGGTTGTATATTGCAACACCCGGCGGGCCATGGTACCGTCGTGGGGCAGTGTATGCCATGGGTGTCATTATGGCAACAGTTGCTTGGAGCCTTGGGTCAAGTTCGGCCGGTTTCTTGCATGGAGTGGAGGTGGAATCTTCCACGACTACAACGACGATGACGACAGCAAGCAGCCATGATATGATTTCCTGTGTGATTCTTTGTGGGCTGCTGTGTATGCTTGTGGCGATGAGCATTTTGCTCGTGCGCACTTGGCGTGCGCTCAATCGAGAGCGCATTGAAGTTCGAGAACTTGGAGCTTTGTGTTCGGCTCTATGGGATGAGCAAAAGGATGACAAGCGAGCACTTCACGAGCTGAGGTGCGAGAATCGTTCATTGAGGGACGAGAATGCGATGATACAGTTGGAGTTCTATGAATTGCCTCACGGAAGGCAGTGCGAGAGGCGTGATACAAGCACGCAAACATGATGCCATTTGCGGTCACCAATGCCCCCTTGCGGTGACCAGGCATGTGAAATATGAAGGCCGTGTTGCGCACATCAATGCCTTTTTGCGATGTGCAGGCCATGTGAGAGAACAGTGAGCCCGTGTTACGTGTGCCAAGGTTTGCGGTGCACAGGGCATGAGGAGTGAGTTTCGCTTAGTTTCGTGAGCTTCGTAGCTGTACTGTAGTGTGCAAACGAACCTCAGGCGGGGTGATGAAACATTACATCCCTGCCCTTTGTACACACGTTGCTTGAACAGTTTTACATGTGTTAACACGTGATTTTGGCATGAGCTCAATTTCATGGAGCACATTGTGAATTGCAGAACTCCGCTACTTACCAGGCTCTGAGTTTGTGGAAAAGTCCGATTACGTTTTCAATTAGGCCGGACATGGTGATCCGGATGGATTCTAGCAGCGCTAGGTCTATCATCTTGAAGAAAGGCTTAGGAAGAACGAGGCACATTGATGCCGGACTGCTTTGGGTTCAAAGGCTTACTTCAGTAGGTCTTCAAGTGAAAGCGATAGCTGGAAAGGAGAACCCTGCAGATGTAGGGACAAAAGCTTTGTCACGGAACGCTGTTGTGAAGTGTTTGGAGAGAATTGGTGTGAGAACTGGAGAAGAGAGTGAAGAAATCAGGGTAGCAAGTGACCTCAAGATCCCTACGAAGTATCTCAGGAGACTGGTGATGATGATGATGATGGTTCAGCAATGTGATGGACTAAGAAAACAAAGCAGTAGAAGCAGTGATGGTGGATGTTTTGGTTTGGTGATGATTGTGATGATGATGACCATGGTGGTTGTCATGCTTTGCAACGGTAGCTTGTGGAAGAGTTTGGTTGAAAGTGCTGATTGCATGTTCCATTCCGCCGCTGCCGAACGAGGTCGAGGCCCTGCCAGGCATGGGCGATGGAGCCGTACCGAGCCCCCCCGCCACGGCACCAGAGTCTGGTAGGGCTGAAGATGCCCGGGAGGGCCCAAAATACCCCTGTCCCAGCAAGCAGGGTGCCTCACCCCTGCCAGTGCCACGGGAGCCACAGCAGTAGCCAGTGAGCCAACGGCACAGGCAGACCCGGGTGCAGGCCAGAGTGAAGAACCCGGCACCCCTCAAAAGAGGGAAACCGGTGAAGCAGGGGGCAGCAGGCGAAGCAGATGTTCCCATGGCGGTGCCGGCGCCCTCATCGGAGCCAGTGGCCACAACCATCGAGCCACCGGCAATGGGAGGAAACAGCTGAAGAATGTGTGCCCATGGTGGTAGACCCACTCCCACCACCGGAGTACATATGGCGGCTCGACGTGGAGTGCCGTTACGACGGCCACTTGCAGAAGCTTCGGTTGCCAGTCGTTGGCCACCAGACAGCAGCCGAGCTTCTCGAACGCCTCATTTCGATGGTGTATGGCATGCCGGGTACGGTGCTCCACCCCAGAGCACATGCAGGGCCACAGATGACAGCTGCACATGTCATCGCAGTGGCGGAGTACCTCCGGTCCTTCCGCGAGCCCTCTCCTGGCTCGGATGAGGACGTGTTTACACTCCTCGATGTGCAGCCCTGGTAGTTTTGCCGTAGTGCCGTAGGTCAGGGCAGGGACGTGTCTCACTCCCTAGGACGTGCTTGCACTCCTTAGCACATCTGGGACGAGTCTCTCTCCCGTGGGGCGTAGCTGCTCTAGCTTTTCCGCTTTCGGGCGATGCCTGCTCCAAACGGGGTGGAAGACCGTGGAAATCCACGGTAATTAGCTGCACGCTGGACGAGGCCCACGGGCCGCGGACTCTTCGCCGCTTCGAGAAGAAAAAGGAAGTGAAGAGAAAAGAAGAAGTTGAAAAAGAAAGAAAAAGGAGAAAAGAAGTTATGGCCGACGACGAGGCCGTTAAAGTGATGATCCGCGACGAATGCAAAAGTGTGCAGGCTGTTGAGTTTTGCAACAAAGAGCTAAAGACGCCGCGCGAAAGACGCCAGAGCATCGAGAAGATATGGACAGAAGTCCAAGAGTTAAACAAGCTGCGCGAGGATGCTCCAACACCTCCAAGAGAAGAAAAGTCCGAAAAGGAAGTGGAGGTGCCGCCAGAGTTTAAAAAGACTGGAGACGAGCTTGCAGCTGAAGCTGAGGCTGGGCAAGCAAGAGTGATGGCGGGAAGAATAGAGGAGCTAAAGCAAAAAGCTGAAGCAGCGAGCGAGAGAAGAAAAGCGCAGAAAGAGGCAGCCGATGAGGCTGCAGAAGGCCAAAAGAAGGCCGAGGAAACAAAAGAAGAGCAAGCGGAGGAGCAGAAGAAGGACGAGGAGCCAAAGAAAGAGAAAGAGAAAGAAGCCGAGCAGGAAAGCTCGGAAAGAGAAGAGGAAGAGAGCGAAGAAAAGGAAGAAGACGAAAGCTCGGAAAAAGAGGAAGAGAAAGGCTCAAAGAGGAAGAAATCGATGAGCCGAGCGATGAAGAGTTTGATGAAAATAATGAAGAAGTTCGCAAAGAAGTCGATTACAAAGGAGGAGGAAAAAGTCCGAAAGATCCTCGGAGAAATGAGCAGTCTCCAGGAGAAGCTGAATGAGAAGCGAAAGAAATTCGCTATCTATAGTGACCTGTTTACGTACAGGCAGAAGCAGAAGAAGTTGAAGGAAGAAGAAAAAGAAAGGCTGGTGGCGAAAGAGATTGAAGTTTCGGAAGAGTTGAAGCGAGTGGCTGATGAAGCCTTCGTTGCCAAGGAGGAAATAGAGAAACAACTTGAAAGAATTAGGAAAGAAGAGGAACAGCAAGAAGTGGAGGCCACCCTCATCATGGATGAGGAAATGGCCATTATGCAGGAGATGGACAGCCTTCGTCCACAGCTGTCGGAAGCTCTCAACGAGCTAAGGAACAAGAGGAAAGAAATTAAATTGCCAGAAGAGAGACTGTTGCTGAGCGAGAGCGACCAGAGATCGCTCGAGGACTTCGAGAGAAAGAAGTTGAAGAGATAAAGGAGATCGCGGAAGCCAAAGAGAAAGAAGTGAAAGAGGAATTGGATAAAAAGGAGAAAGAGATCACAGATCTCAAAGAGCAAAAGGAGAAAGAACTTGCAGAGCTCAAAGCAGCAAAAGAGAAGGAAGTGAATGATCTGAACGAAGAGCTGCCCAAAGTGAAAAAGAGAAAAAGCGTGAGTGGAGCAGCAGCATCCCAGCAAAGCGAGGAGATGGAGAAAATGACAGAGGAACGCAAAAAGATGAAGGAGACAATCAAAGAGTTAGGCAAGAATAACAAGGCCTTGGAAGATGAGTTGCAGGCAGTTAAAGAGGAAGGAAAAATCGAAGAAGACCCGGAAGCCGCAACTCAGCCAATTGTGTGTGCCTTGTGTTCAAGGTTTGGACACAGTGCTGACACATGTTGGGATGCGGATTACAATTATACAAGCAGTGGTCAGTATGCTCCAATGGCCCAGGGCGACAACATGAGCAAGGAACAGTTCCTGTCATGGTACAGGAAAAACGAACTAACGTTTCGAAGGGCCTACGCGAACAGGTTGGAGGCCTCGAAAAAGAAATATAGGACTGACAATCCGGAAAAAGGAAAGGGAAAGACAGCACAGCAAAAAGCCAGCTAAAGAGAAAAGAGAAAAGAGAGAGACCGTACCTCAGGTCTATAAACAAGGAGGGATGAAAGCAGAAGACCAAACCGGAGGTCTGTAAAGAAAAAGGTAATCTAGAGGCTAAAAAGCCGAGAGGGGGGACCCAGTTCCCAAACGAGGAAAGAGTTTTCTGAAAGCTGCACAGCAGCTGCGCAAGGGAAGCCGAGAGAGTTTCTCTACGAGGATAGTTTCAAGAGTTTTGTGGCCACGGCCACCGACGAGTTCTTTTGCGGCTAAAAAGCCAAAGAAGTGAACGAGTTAAAGAGCTTAGTGAGAGCGGCCAGTAGGAGTAGCTCTTGTCTCACTCGTTTCACACAACGACAAAAGCAGTGCACCACGACGTGTTTAAAAAGAGAAGTGAGCGACTGTTTTGGGTTCGTAGCACCTCTTAAAGGGAAAAGGCGAAAAGAGGATGCACGAAGAGGGGGTAACAAACATTTCGCTTAAGTGTGTGTTGCCCTGTAATCCTGTAGATGAGCTGTTTGCCACATGTTTTGTATAGCATGGAACAAATGTTCCACTGTGGTGTTTAGGCTCAAGGGACGCACCCAAGACAGCCGTGCGCCCGAGGAAAAGTGAAGAGCGAATATCAGTGCAAAGTGAAAGGGTTTGGAACGTACCCGTAAAGCGTTTTAGAGAAGAAGGTGCTACTTCGAGAGCACATCGACGCTAACGAGGTGGCCTTTTCCGTTGTGGGGGACATCGCTAAAGCCCACAGGCGCTACAAGCATGCCGAGGGGGAGCATGGCTACCTGGGGTGTCAGATCGACACCGAAGAAGCTATTCCGGGGGACCCGACAGCCAGACAGTCTACGTGAATGGGGACCTTCGGGCTATTGGTGGACCCGTAAGCGGCGTGTGGGCTTCGGCTCACGTACCACCTGCTAGAGCCATCTTTCCCGCTAGACATGCGACTCTATGCCGATGACCTCGAGTCTTTGGGCCGAGGGGCGAGGGGCCGTTACCTCTTCCTCCCCCCGTCTTGGTTACCCCTTCAACTAATCCAACACGGGGGGAGTGGCTAGGCATGGAGACGGAGTACTCCACGTGGAGGATAGGTCTCTCGCAGAAGAGGACCAACTGGCTAGTGGAGTGGCTACGGAAGCTAGTGCGCGAGGGGAGGAGCGAGGCCGGTCCTTTCGTGCAGGGGCTAGGACGCCTGGGTTTCGCCTAGACTGGGAACGCCCTCGCTGCACGCCTGGTCGTCGGCTATCCAAGGGAAGCCGGGCCACCTGACGCTACCCACGATGATCCGTGTCCTTTGTGGTTGGCTCAAGTATCTGGCGGCTGCGACATCGTGGCTATGTCACCGCCGGTGGCTACCTTTTCAAGGGCTACCTGGGCTAACCACAAGGGTCCCAGGCCAGGCCGCAGTTTCAGCGAGCCGCGTGTCTCACGGCGAAAGAAAGAGACAGGGCTATTCTTGTGACATTTTTGCTGATTTCTGTTTTGAAATGATGGCTAGTGCTGCGCTTGCTTCGGCGTACTCAAGACCTGCATGGACATGCCGGATACAGCCGACCTTCGACGACGCGGGCTACTACACAGGCCCCTGCCGCCTACTACCACGCAGGGGGTGGGCCACCGCATGCTGGCTCCTTCTACCCGGCGAGTGGCCCTGGCACAACAGCAAAGGCGAGGGGCTCTGCAGAGGAGGAGGTTGGAACTGACTACGGGCCAGGATTCGGGAGATTGTGGTCCGGCGAGCGGGTTCCCAAGAGGAACTGGAGAAGGAGGCCTTCCGCATGGCTATGGGGGGCGAATCTGGATGCAAGTTGGTCCGGGATAGTACAACTTCTCCAGACCTGGATAGAAGGCCTCGGCGAGCCCAATCTGCCAGAAGTCCGGCCTGGACAACCTCTACGGGAGCAGACTTCGTGGCGGCTTAGACAACGCGCTAGCCTCTCCTCCGTGGGCGAGACAGAGACTTTGTCCGGTCTAAATTGACGAGGACGTGGAGGAGGGCCTCATGGAGAAGATGACCCTCCGTGAATTCAAGGAGAGGTTTGGCGAGCACCGGGCTATTGCTTCATTGGCGGTGATAGTCGAGGACGAGGAGAAGGATAAGAAGAGGATTAATTCACGACGCGGCCCATGGCGTTAGGGTGAATCATCGGATACGTTGTCGGGATAAGATCCGAGCACCTGGGGCTAGGGAGAAGAAGCAGATCCTCCGCGAGCTGATCCGCTGTGGCGAGATCGCCTTTTCTGTGGTGGGGGATATCTCGAAGGCTCGTTCGCTATCGTCGCTCGCAGGAGAGTTGCCTCTGACATGCGAAGACAGGATAGCAGTGACTTGGAATGTCTACGCGTGTGCTTGACCGTTGCCATTCTGGATAAAGTCCCCCTCTTCACAAGGGTAATTTTGAAGTACCCACCCTGCCCACCCTGGGGATAGATAGCCGAAGGCTATCGGAATCTCCAGGCAACCTGGGATAGTTGCCACTTCCGACAAAAGTGTGTCCGTGCTAGCTGAGTGTGTTTGTCCTGTTCGGTTGTCGCTCGGCTAGCTCGCAAGCTAAATACTCGATGCTACTATCGCCTGGAGGAGTTCTGGGGATGGTGGCGGGATATAGGAGCTAGTGCACGTCTTCATTCTTATCGGATGGCTCTGCCCCTAGGTGTCAGGAACATATCAGCGCTTGCATTCTGCTAAAACCCAAAGTCCAGCTCCATTCATCACGAAATGCTCAGACAACATCCTCGAGGAGGAAACAATAAACCTCCTCAGTGTGGAGTCTCTGCAGTGGGCCGTTTGGTGTGTGGGCCCCACGACCAGCTTTGTCAGATTGGGGGACAGTGGGAGGGTAACAGGGACCTGACCAAGGGCCCCTGTTCCAAGCTGACAAAGAAAACCCGCAGAGTTCAGACCAGCCTCAGCCAGATTTGAAGCCAATATCGCAGTGTATCACAGACATCTCAGCCTTAATATTTGAAGCCTGAGTCCCTCAACCTGATTCCTCGCACTCGTGCCGAGGCACGAGGTACGACAGTGTATGCTAGCGCTAGTATCCCTGTGGGAAACATCGAAGGTGTTTCGCTAGAAAACGTGAAGCTAAACAGAACGAAGCCTGTCTGTTTGCTAGAGTGACTGCACATGGCCGGTGAAGCATGCGCTACTCCGCCAGCTACTGGGGGGCAAATTTCGAGTGGGGGTAGGAAGGGGAACACGGCTAATTAGCCCTGCTTCGGGTGCGCTGCCATGTCGGACAGCGACGCTACCCTGGCGCCGACCACGCCAGGTGGTGCAGCTGCTACAGCCGTCGACTGCGCTACTGTGGTTGGGGACTCCCCGCCCCCGCTACCCAATAGACCCGGTTAGACAGATTCCTGCCTAATAGTCACGATGTTATCTTAGACAACGATTTGACTAATAGTCAAGTTGGGCGTCTATAGATTTTTGCGTTTCAGACAACACGCAAACAATATATATCTTAGATAAATTCATCGTATCTATTTCCTGCAAAACTAACTAAATCGTGAAGAAAAGTTAGTCAGAATCCTACGATTTCGACAATTTGGTGGCCAGGAGGGGCGAGGAAGTTTCGAGGAAGTTTCCTCGAAACTTCCTCTGGGCAGGGCCGGGTCCGAGTAGAAGTTTCGATGCTGTTTTGTCGGGCAGGGCCGGGTCCGAGTGGAAGTTTCGAGGCTGTTTTGCCGGCAGTTTCATGGAAGATTCGAGCTGCTTTTGTTCCCTTCTGTGAAAAACATGTGTGAATAGAGATAAGTAATACATAACTTATGTATATAAATGCAATTATATATGTATATGTATACATATACATATACATATACATATACATATACATATACATATATATATACACACATATATACACACAAATATACATATATACATATATACATATATACATATATACATATATACATATATACATATATACATATATACATATATACTATACATATACATATACTCATACATATACATATACAAATACATATATACATATACATACATGTATATACATATATATATATATATATATATGTATATGTATATGTATATGTATATGTATATGTATATGTATATACATGTATGTATATGTATATATGTATTTGTATATATATATATATATATGTATAAATACGTGTGTATATATATATATATATATGTGTGTGTGTTATGTATATAAGTATATATGTATATAGGTATATATGTATATGTGTTTATATAGTGTGTATATATGTATATGTATATATATATATGTATATATATATATATATGTGTGTGTGTATATATATGTCTGTGTTCCGTTCTCTCTGTATAGGTAGCTCTCTCCACAGGTATAGATGTCGTTGCCGAGCCGCCACACACCTGTCCAAGGGAAACACACACAGGTGCCCTAAATTGTGGAAGTCGCAAGCTGTAAACAAATCGGAAGGCTCAGTTTTTCACACGTGCCCGTGCTTGCTGAACAGCCGACCCAAAGCGAGACGATACCTCGACATCATCTTGAGGCTGGCCTTCGCCGGGCCCAAGCCCTTCATGCACGTCTCGGCCAGCTGTTGGGTCCGACGTTGTTGATCTTCCCCTGCGAAGCACCACACCATCCGAGGATTGATGTAGCGGGCAAGGAGGGCAGCATGCTCTATAAAATGGCTCTTTTCTGTCACATTGAACAAAGGCACATCGCTGTCCGAGAAATGATCCTGCAGCTCTTTTTGCAAGAGAAGCCAGCCCATTGTCGCATCTTGGAATTGTGCAGCATCTTCAGCACACAAAGCAAAGTCGCCTTTGCTGTTCGTCAAGATACCTTCCAGAGTTGTGTTCAGCTTGAGCATGACCCGAATCTTTCGATGAATTGCAACGGCCTGAACCATGTGTCTCTGCCATATCTCCAGAAGCGGCCCGTGCAAATGTCGGATTTCAGCAGCCTTTCCTCTGAGCTTGACCATATTGTTTTTTCTCAAGAACATTCGCACGGTATTCAGGTACCGAAAGCGAGAGGGTATATCATCTCTCTTGTAGATATGTTGAATTTCCCTCCAGATGACCTCCATGTTCTGGGCTGGAGTGCCAGGCAAAATATGATGGGTCAACAAAAAGAAGACTGAGGCATAGTTGTACTGGTCTGCCCCAAGGTACTTTATGTGCATCCAATCCATCGCGACATTGCAAGCACTCAAGTTGGACAGCTGAAATAAAATGCATGGGCTGCGGCCTGGCCATGATTTCCACGGAACTGGCGCCCAACAGCTTGCCTGCCAGGCAGCTCCTGGACCAAAGTCCATCCATGAGCTGCCCCCGTATTTTGTGCATTGACAAAGAGTGCATGGGCCTGCATGGGTAGTGGAATTGGGAAGGCCCAGGATTTTGTGATAGTAATCAAGGTCACCTGCCAAGCTCCACAAGCAGGCATAATAGCCTCCAGCTAGGGCTTTGTTGGCTCGCTTGGCTTCAGCAGATCCTGCCACATACCTTGTCGGCTGTGTGTGTGCTCCACAAAAAAAACACAGCTTATGGAGGAAGGCTTTGCGGCTCAGGTTCCACAAAGATGGATGGAGTTTCTTGGGGCTTGCAGTGTGCTTCCTTGTAGAAAAACATAGAGTGTGTGTATATATATATGTAAAAATATATGTGTTTATAGATAGCATACATATATATATATATATGATATATACACCGAACCCATATAAATCAGTTATATATAGTCCTGAATATTACCCTTTTGTAAACGATGCAAGCTTCAACTCACAAGAAATGAGATAATCGAAACCTGAAAAAAGTCTTTGTGAACCCCCTATATAAAAGGAGCAAATAAAAGAAAAGCCGAGAATCTTGACTCCTTCGTGATCACGGTCTGGCCATTTTCCTCGCCAGAGTGCCTCGAAAGACCACTTCAGCAAAGCAAAAAACGAGCCCAATGTAGAGTCGGGCTCCTGCTTTCCCAGGCACAGTTTGTCAAACATGCCCCATATCAGGTAAAGCACCTCGCTTGTATTTCCACGACCGATCAGCGAATACCAAGAAAAGTCTGTCATAAGCTGTTGCCAGGCTTTCCCCCGACCAGTCAACGGAACCCCATCGCCATGAAGGCACAGAGGCACACAGCGATCGGCCAAGTCCTTTCTGGCTTTCATTGCCGGTGTAACGGCCGGGTGGCTTGAAGTGACTGACCAGAACTGCTGTAGATCTCCAGGTGGGCCCAAAATGCATTGTTCCCAGGTGGCACGGTGATGATGATAAATGTCAGAGAACAGCTGGTGGGGTAACAGCATCGCCTGCATTCTGTTGCCGACCGGATGTCTGAAGGGGATAGATACCAACATCGGCGCCGACACATGCAACTCAGAGCTTCTGGTCGCAGCTTTCATCACGTCGCCATAGCACTTGTTTGCATGTTGCCCCCGTGTACCTGCATTGGCCAGCGACTCCAGATTGTTTGGCACTCTTTCGCTTGACAGTGCAGCTTGAACATCACAGTGTGCTAAGTCGGCGATTCGTTGCACTTGTTGGGGCGACATGTAGCCCCATGACATCTGATCAACCAAGTAGTCGGAAAGCTTGCTGTCGGTCTCCTTGGCAACATCCTCAGCTGCAGCTCGAGCTATCCGCTGTTGTTGCCCCCCTCGCTTTCTTTTGACACCACTGCTGGCTGAAGCCTCCATGGTGGAGCGATCGACAGCATGTCGGCTGTAAACATCTCCGCTGGGCGAAAACTACATCTCGCTAATACATAACCCTGAAAACTCGAAAGACCGAAAGCCCGGAGACCAGAAACCCTGAAACTTTTTTACTAATTCGATGGTTCTTCGGCTAACTTTTCGCTTTAACCTCCAAGGTCTGTCTTCTAAGCCCAAACATTAACCTCTCAACTCAGCACCCCACACAAAACAATCATGTCCTAGGAAGCTTTTCTACCTTTTCCCTAAACCCGTTCAAGAGTTTACGACCTTTTGAGAGATACCGTGGAGAGATACCGTGGAGAGCGACACCATGAAGAGAGCTTCATCTACCTTTCGAGAGTCCTCATATACCATGTGTGGAGTGATGACCATAAGTACCTTCTGTGAGAGCCTAATATATCACCTTTGGAGAGATAAACCTATATGGAGAGACTACCTTGCGAGTGCCGGCACTGCTTCGATTCTGGGGCGGCACACAGAGCTTCTTCGGCTTTCAGGGGTCAGGGCAATACAGGAATAATCAAGAAACCCAAAGCCCTGCCTATATGTGGCTTATATATAGGAGCTTTTGGGACTTGGGGCGAAAGGCACAAATGTTTACGGGTATTGTCCAAACCACGGGTATACACTGGCAGGGTGTTGTGTTGCTTGGTTTGGGGTTTGCCGGGGAATCCCAAAAAGTGCTGAGGCCTAATTATATATACCCTTTGGGAATGTGGGGGTTACGACTGTTCAGGGGGTGACAAGTCTAAGCTGGGGGTTCGTGTTGCGAACGGACTGCGATGCCTTGTCAAGTTCTAAGGTGTCACTATAAGAGCTGTGAGCAAGACCGTGTAAAGTGCAAGAGAAGGGGGCACGCTACGCGTCCCTCGACTCTAAGGGGGCACGCTACGCGTCCCTCATCTTTACCTTTCTATGTGACCGCCCACGCAACGTTTGGCTCAAGTCAATGCCCATAGCTAAGTGCTATAAGTGTCTTCTATCCTGAGCAATCAGAGCTATCCCGTTGCACAGACGAACCGCCGCCGGCAGTGAGTGCAAAAGGAACGGCCGCCGGTTCTGCCTGCATAGGATTGCACGTGTGGAAGTAAGAAGGAGAGACAGGGTCCAGTCTGTGGAGAGTGCAAGCCAGCCACACCTACATTCATTACAGCTCTGGTGGGGAGAGCAGCAACCAAGTCGAGATCAATCCCCCACGCAGGTTATCAGCCGTACGCGGCTCTGCCTTTCTACAGCAACGACTACTTGATCTACTACGACCACAATGAACTCAGGATCAAGCCAAGATACGACAATGACTTTCGGTGCCGATGTGGCAGCGCCAGCCGTTGGTGAGTCAACAGCTGATGACACAGTGGTGCAATCCGTTGATAGCTCCACGGAAGATGACAAAGGTCAATCTTCTGCGCTTGCCATTGCAAAGGCAGTTCCCAAGGGGAAAGCAAAGAGTCTACCAAGAGCATCTACGCCTTCGCGTCCGACATCCACAGGTTCGAGGACGGGCAAGGCTTCAGAACGACGGGCCGAAGCGTCTGGTTTTCAGGCACCTCGGACTACGTCCAGGGCCAAGGACAAAGGAGTGAAGACCTTGGAAAAGAAGTCAAGACCATCATCTTCGAGAAGCTCTTCAGCACGATCGAGGACTTCGGCTACTCGTGGGCGTGACAAATCCATGACTTGGAATCGGATGGTTACCAATCAACCACGTGATGCTGACGATCTGGATATGACTCTGGACACTATCCCAGCACGTGGTGATGCATCATCGGTGACCACGCCAGCCATAGCCGATGGTCCGAATGCCTATCAGGAACTGACGATTTCGCAACAGCTCGAAGCATCTAACCTTGCGCAGCAGATGTACTATCGCAGTCAGATGCAAGAATACGAAGGAGTTGTTCAGACCCTGATGGACAAGATCAAGGAGATGCAACAAGAAGATGAAGGATCTGGAATTCGCATTGAAGAATTGGAACGACAACGTGACCATGCATGCTTAGCCATGAGGCACATCAACAATGTCAATCAGGAGATGAAGCGAGACTATGAAACAGCTTTGTTTCGCATGGATGAACAGAACTCTGCTCAACAACGTCAAGCACATGCCGTTGCCGAGGAGTTAGCTCAACAGCTACACGTGTTCCGCACGGAGGCAGCCACTAACTTTGTGCAGTTGGAGGCAAGAGCGCAAGGCGATGGTGAGCTTATGGCACGTGAGTATGAGCGTCTGACTCATGAACTTCATGAACATGCCAGAGAGAACTTGGTCCTCCGGTCAAACACAGCAAGTTCGGAACAAGCCTTACAAGCAATGCAGGAACGATTCCACTTGGTCAAGAACCAGGAGTTGCGGGCCGTGAACGAGATCCAAGGGCTAGCTGGAAACAGCGCAGCCATTGATCAAGAACGATTTCGGCTTCGCGAACGTCTTGGTGAAGAGGAAGAGTACCGCAAAATGGCTGTGAAGAGGATGCAAGAAGCAGAGGACGACTTCATCAGAATGAAGATCATGCAAGGCGATCATTGCCTACCTTGCACGACGAGCTGAGTGAACTCAGGAAAACGCTCAAAGCACAAGAAGATCTTCAAGCGAGGACACGCAGCGAATTGGAGGCAGCGCGAAACTCCAATTACGGAGGAGCGACACGGCCTTCTAGCATGCCCATGTCTTCGAGGACTACTGAGTCTGGCTGGGAGCACGTAGGAAAGGAAGTAGTGCCTGCATTTTCCGTAGGAGGTGAGGTACGATCCCCTGAAATACGGTCCCCAAGTCAAGTTAGTCCAGTCGCCAAAGAGAAGTTCGCATTCTCGGAATCGGACAAGGACAAGAACCTTGTGATGGATGGAATTCCATTCACCGGTGGAAACTTCTTCACTGGCCGCAGTTCAATGCCAATCGTGGCGGATGCAATGCCCGAGCACTACGTGCCAGGTATTAGCAGCCCAGCACTTGCGCGTTCCACGCCTAGTGCAGCCACTTTGTTCGGCATACCAAGCGGATTTCATGGGAAAAGTGATGCGGCAGCCGTGCGTGATCGACAGCTACGCGAACTCTTGGAGGATCGCGGGATGTTGGGATCGAAGTCCACAGCATCTGCCAGCTCCTCAAGACCTGTTGGTGTCGACGGTATCACCGCATCTACGAAGGGCAACGACCTCATCGGTCCCCCTATTGCCTATGACGATTCCATTCATGAAGCAAGGAGACGTCAGATCGAGAAAGAGGTCGCGGAACGGTACGAGGAGAAGATTGCCGATCTGCGAAGCGAAGTACTCAAGGCCCAGAAAGCCGAACAACGTCTCAGAGCTGATCGTGATGAGTGGAAGTTATTCGCTGAAACGATTCAGGAGGATAATGGAGACGATGACGGTGACGAGGCTGGCGACGAGAACGAAGCTGGAGAGCACGATGAAGGAACCGGCACGGGGTATGACCCTCCTGACCCGCCTGACGATGATGATGATAAGAAGAAAAGCGGTGGAGGCAAACCTGAATCGGATCCTGGATCGCATGCGCGTGATCCTGATGGAGACGCGGATCCTGAAGTCACAGAGGTGAGAATTTCCAGGAGGGAAGCCGACAAAGTGACCGTTCCTCCATGGCCTACTCTCACTCATCTCAACAACTGGCGATCCGTGTGCACGGCCAATGTCTTAGGAGCATCAGCCGACCCACATCATGAGGACTGGATGTTATGGCTGGCACCAGCGTTCAACCCATTCCCTGATGTCGAAGCATTGAATGATTCAGGACACAAGAAGTTCAAGAGCATAGACGTCAAATTGGGGATCGCCATGGTCGCAATGCTACGTGCCGGTGGTGACAAATCAGCTGACCTGTACCTTGAGGTGAACCGGAAGGCTAACGATTACATCAGCAGGCCCGACGGGAAGATCATCAAAGGACGACAAATCATTGCGATGATGTATGAAAGTTTTCGAACGCACGATCGTCTCGACATGATCATCACTCTTGAGTATTTGGTGAAGCTCCAGTACCAAGGCGACAACAAGCTTCATACGTTCAAGCAGACGTGGTTGGAAGTTCTGGGACGGATGAGACCAGAGGACATTCCATCCAAAACAGCTCTCCGTGATTGCTTGTACAGCAAGATCAAGGACTCGCCCGCAATGAAGATGGAGTTGGGCATGCATTACGAACACTTGCCCTACAATCATGAAGACCGATCGTACGACAACCTGATGAAGATCATTGACCGTACTATCATGCGGAGACGAGAACAGTCAAATCTCACTCAGACCCAAATTGGCTTGCGCCAGATGCTTGAGGGCAAGGATTTGCTTGCTGCACCGGCCAAGGTACCCGAGAAACCAACGCCTAACGCAGCTCCATCCGCAAAGGTCAAGGCTTCGCCGACCAAGCCGGATAAAGCAACACCTGTACTACCTCAAAGCAAAGCGAAGAGTCATGCGAAGACCAAGCCAAAGCCCAAGAAGAAGACGAGGAGTGAGTCAGCGGACAACAGAGGTGACAAAAGCAAGAAGCAAATCCGCTGCAAGTTCCATTTCACAGATGCAGGGTGTCGAAATGGTGATAAGTGTCCATTCAGTCACTCGAAGAAGACTCCAGAGCGACCCTTCACGCCGAGGACGAGAACTCCAAGTCCATCTGGAGGAGGAGGAAACAGGATATGCTACTCGTTCAAGAACACAGGCTCGTGCTCAAGAGAGAATTGTCCTTTCAAGCATGAGGCAGCAGCTACCCCAGCTCCGGAACCAAAGGCAAAAGCTAAAGCTAAATCCGAAGCGAAGGCAGCTCCAGCGAAGCCGAATGCCAAGGCCAAGGCACTCCCTGCGGCACCCGCCATCAGATTGTGTCGAAGGTGGAATCCATCAGCTCCGGCTATATGGAAGCGATCTTCAAGACAAGATGAGGAGGAGTCAGATTGTCCATCCGTTGACAGCGACGCTGATTCGGATTGTTCAACAGATGACGAATCCTCGGGAACGACTACGTCGAC